TTGCAAGGAAGAACAGGTGAAATTTACAGCCTCCTTGGTAGCCATTCGGGGCTCCAGATAATTAAATGGCAAATCTGCATCTGCCTATTACCAGATCCAGGTTGGGAAAATCCTGGAGTTTAGGGGATGGAGCCTGGGAAGGACACAGACTTCAGTGGGGTACACTGCCATAGAGTCCACCCTCCGAGTCCAAAGCATCCGTTTTCTCCAGGGGGACTGATCTCGAGTCTGGAGATGAGGGTGTAATTCCAGGGGATCCCCAGGTCCCACCTGGAGGCTGGCATCCCTAGGCTCTTACATCTATGTTTTCTTGTTTTCTGTACATGTAATTAGGAGCCCCTTTCTTACACATTTGCAATATGGATGTCTGCAGGGGTGTAGACAGGGCTAAACCTGATTAAGGCCTACACTTAGAAATCTATATTAAATTATTTAAATATTAAATTATTTATATTTCCAAAAATATGCTATCAACAATTAATCACATGGTTTAAAAATATAATTTTTCATTTGTAATGGTCTGAATCTCAGAAAGGAAGAGGGCTCAGTGAGAGGGAAAATGTTATAGACTCCTTCACTGAGACATTCTGAGTAAATATTCATGTATGAAAAGAAATCCTTCCTTCCTCCCTCTCTTTTCCTTTCAACCATCCAATGAAGTAGGTTAGGCTGAGAGTATGTGACTGGCCCAAGGTCCCATAGTATGCTTTGTGGCTAAGTGGGATTTTGAACTCTGATCTCCCCAATCTTAGACCAACACTCTAACAACTACATCACTCAAATACTGGATAATCAATATGACTCTCCAAATGCATCTCAGAACCCACATTAAATCCATAGTAAATATTGGCTTCAGATACCCTGACCTGAAATTATGGGAGCTTTTGTTTGGTTGAGGTAAGATTCAGGACAGCAGAATCGCCTCACTTTCTGTATTCGGTGAACCAGCTTTACTCATGTAGAGATGCACAGAGATTTTTTTTTTAAAGGCTATTCCCTTATCTTCCATTTCTTTTTCTCTAAAGCTGCAGGTCACAGGATACCAAAACTGCCTTAACTTCCAGTATTTAAGCCACAGGCCTCTGCCCCCCCCCCAACACACACAGCTAAAAACAGAAATATTCCCATCTCCTCTGTTTCTTTTCTGCTAAACCTGCAAGACCCAGGATACCAAAATTTAACTTGCAGTACACTGTCTTTTTAATGATCCACAGGTTGAAAGTAGGGGCTTTAGGCAGAACTTCCAAAGATCCCAAGGAAAAAATAAGGTCAGGCAGTGGAGGGGTGCTCCTGTGAGGCAAGTAAATGTCCCAAAATCCCAGAGAAAGATAGTGGAGTTGGCATCCTCTGTATGAGTGGAAAGCATGAGAATGTACAGTTGAAGTCTAAGCAGCTTCATAGAATCATAGAGTTGGAAGGGACCTCCAGGGTCATCATGCAGGAAATTCACAACTACCTCCCCCCACATACCCCCAGTGACTGCAGTTCCATGCCCAGAAGATGACAAAAAAGCTCCAGGATCTCCAGCCAAAGTGGCCTGCAGAAAAATTGCTTCCTGACCCCAAAGTGGCAATCAGCATTTCCCTGGGCATGTAAGAAAAGGCCACAAGAACTAAGCACTGAGGCAACCCTCCCTCTCGTGATCTGCCTAAGTTCACAGAATCAGCATTGCTGTCAGATGGCCATCTAGCCTCTGTTTGAAAACCTCCAAAGAAGGAGAGCCCACCACTTCCCGAGGAAGCCTGTTCCACTGAGGAACTGCTCTAACTGTCAGGAAGTTCTTCCTAATGTTTCGCTGAAAACTCTTCTGATTTAATTTCAACCTGTTGGTTCTGGTCCAACCTTCTGGGGCAATAGAAAACAACTCCACACCATCCTCTAGATGACAGCCCTTCAAGTACTTGAAGATGGTTATCATATCACCTCTCAGTAATCTCCTCTCCAGGCTAAACATACCCAGCTCCTTCAACCTTTCCTCATAGGACTTGGTCTCCAGACCCCTCACCATCTTCGTTGCCCTCCTCTGGACACGTTCCATCTTGTCTATATCCTTCTTAAATTGTGGTGCCCAAAACTGAACACAATACTCTAGGTGAAGTCTATCCAGAGCAGAGTGAAGTGGTGCCAACACTTTGCATGATCTGGACACTATACTTCTTCTGTTGATATAGCCCGAAATTGCATTTGCCTTTTTAGTTACTGCATCACACTGCTGACTCACGTTCAGTGTATGTTCTACTAAGACACCTAGACAGGGGTCATTTCGTAGAAAAAGAGCTAGGGGAACTCATTAGCATAACTCATTAGCATATGCCACACCCCCTGACATCAGGGGCCTGGCGGTGGACCTGCAAGGCCAGCGGGAGTGCGAGGAAGCCCTGCGAAGGCCCTCTCTGGCCCCAGGCAGGCAGGGGTGGGGAGAGGCGGGGAGGAAGCAACTTACCCTCCCTCTTCTCCTGCCTCCTCCTGGCTGAATGAGGACTGGAAGTGGGGCGGCCGGAAGCAGGGGGCGGGGCTTCGTCATGTGCCCCGCCCCCCTGCACCTCACCCGGGGGAACTGCGTTCCCCCGCGTTCCCCCCCGAAATGACCTCTGCACCTAGATCCTTTTTGCACATACTACTGCCAAGACAAGTCTCCCCCATCCTATAATTATGCATTTGACTTTTCCTACCTAAATGCAGAACTTTACATTTATGCCAGTTGAAATTCATTTTATTTGTTTTATCCCAGTTTTCC